GGCAGAATGGTTTTAAGCTGAAAGAAGGGCGATTTAGACGAGACAAAAGGAAGAAATGTTTTCCTGTGAGGGTGCTGAAGCAGCGGGCCAGGGTGCCCCGAGAAGGTGGGGGAGGCCCCTCCCCGAGGCCAGGCTGGATGATACTTTGAGCAACCTGGTCTAGTGCGAAGTGTCCCTGCCCATGGCAGGGGTGTTGGAACTCAATGATCTTGAAGGTCCCTTCCAACCTAAACCATTCTATGATGAAATATTCCAGATTTATATCTTTGAGAATGACTCTAATTTTGCCAGAAAAAGGAGATAAATGATGTAGACTTGATCCATATTTTAAACCCACCAGTTCAGTAAGACACAAGCTCAAATGGTTTTTATTACAAAACATTTTATTGTAGTTATTTACACCCATTCCTTGATAAGTGTATAAATTTAAACATTTATTATACATGTATTTCTCTTATCTTACAGTTCACCCCCAGTTCAGAGTAAATGTTATTTATAAGCATACAAGTAGTGATGAAATTTAAGCTATATTCACAGAATATACATCTGCGTGCAGTTAAAGTCCACCAGCCCTAAGCCAGTGGTATAGACACTGTCCCATTCGCTCTACTCCTGCTTCTCGTGTGGACACTGGCGTCTGTGATGTCGTCGGCGTGATCCTCGCTTTTCTTCTCTTTCAAGCTGTTGATGAACCTCAGGGTTATTTCATCCCACTCCTCCGGGAGCAGCATCAGCAGAAACCCAATGCAGATGATGATGGTGGCTCCCAACCTCACCACGCTGAAGATCATCTTGTGCTTCAACAGATCCACAGCTGTGAAGAAGAAACAACACTGCCATCAGAACCACAGCACGATGATCTACAGCATCAGAGCAGCCAGGCTCGTCTCCATAACCTGCGAGTTGCACTCTGGATGTGATATTAGCCCCACTGCTGTCAGTCCTCTACAGCTTTGACCTGAGAGCACGATACTGCAAGTGCTACGTCTCCTCACCACCTTCATGCAGACTCTGAGGAAGCCTCGTAGGGCTGGTTTAAGCCTCAAGGTTTCCATTTCTGCTCTGAGAGGGAAGATACTCTATGGTAAGTCTTTATCTACAGCAGGTTACATCAGCATCATGTTTCCTTGGACCGGTGATGGGGAGGGAGCAGCACGCAGGTCAGAAAGCTGGAGTTGGTACCTCCAGGCTCAGCCTCCCAACTCCACAGCCAGCAACAACAGCACAGCTGAGCCCTTCAGCAGCCTCTTGCAGGTACTGACTGTTCTGCAGCTCTGACCTGCATCCCCCTAAAAATAGATGTTTCTTAAAAACACAATTGGATACAGGGAGTCGCAAGGAAAACGGGGTGGAGGAGGAGGAGAGTGGAAGAGCAGAGAGGGGCTATTTAGGAGGACAGGACTCTGGAGTAAACTTCCATGTATCCACCCTGCCCTGCTGCTGCACGGCAGGTCCCCAGCACAGCCCTGAGCCCCAGCAGCAGCACCCTGACCCCACCACACCTCAGCAGCACCTAGTGCTTACTTTTCCACTGCCAATCATGGTACTTGTACCTGCGTTTCCAGGGACGCTGAGCACCGTGCCGATGGAGATCAGAATGGGGTATGTAAGCACAACGCCAACGTTAACCAGAATATTGAAAGCTACGGAAAAACAGAGAAAACAATACATGATTATGGGTAAAAACACTGAAGTGAGACTCTGCTCTTCCACCTTGACCCTACAACTATGATGTATGCTCAGTATGCACATTATGATGATGTAGTTGTCATAAAGCAATAGATTTTTATTTTTTTGTATATGAGTGGGAAATGAGGGGAAGTTCTGTCTGGGGGGAGAGGGAGGGCTGTACATCCTTTCACAAACTGTGATACCAAGGTTATCACACTCCTATTTCCCAGCTTTGTCCAAGCTTTAATCAGGCACCAACAACCTAGTTTTGCTCCCAAGCCATCATTTCTCCTCCTGCCAGAAGGACAGTGATCCCAGCCTCCCCTAGGGGCTGAGGCTGTGTTGTCCTTGTCCTGGTAGGACATTTCACTGATGAAAGGCCGCACGCACCTCTAGCTGGACCACACACAAAAGGTGACAGCAGCAGGAACGCACACTCAAAAGGACACTACGATTAGCCGATGAAGTTAACTGCAGACTAAGCAGACTAGAGTGAGATGACGGTGACAAGATGAAAGGTGACAGAAGTACAAATGTTCGACACCTTTAATTCATGGGTTGGGGGTTTTCTACATGACTGCATTCCCAGCCAGCTCCAATCTCCTTGAGAGCTCAAAAACAGACTGTAGAAACTTCCCCTTCCAGCTCTCACAAGCAGGGGCTGGTGCTGGGTGCTGTGGTGGGACCCCAGGTGCCCCCCAAACCGATCACCCATCACCCAGTCCTACTGGTGAGTCCCTATGTAAAAGGAGTGAGTTTGTCCGCTCCACAAGGTTGTTCCCTCCTGGCTGGGACTATACACTTGATAGATCTCTGGGCAATAAGTTACACCTATTTTTTGTCCTGTAGGTGCTCAGGGAGCAGCTGGATCTCAGGTTAGAGCAGCGTGAAGGTGCTCACGGCACCTCGGCTGTCAGCCCGACCGTGTCTCGGGATGGCTGCGTGGATGGGCTACGTACCGGGCAATGACATCCTCTTTGTTTCCATTTAATATACTTGCAGCAGAGACAAAAACCTCTTCAATGATGAAATAACAGAGACTCGACTGAAGGAAAGGTTGTTGTTATATCTGGAAATTAAAATGCCCCTGGGCTGGATCCAACATCTCTTCTGCCTAGCTGGAGGAGAGCAACGGTGGCTCTGAAAGAGGGAGTGTGGTGGAGAAGACGAGGAGAACCAGCCCCAGCCTTTGGAGGCTAACGCAAAGCTGTACAAGCTCTGCCTGGAGACCTGCAGCACCCCAAGAAAGTTGCCCCAGCGCGGTGGGTGCCCGTGTCAGTGCACACACACCCTACAAAGCACACCAGGAACTCTTTGAAATTGGATTTACAGCAATTAAACTGTGCCCGAGACAGGGAAATACAATGACACTACGGTAGGAGTGAAAAGATGTAAAGTGGACATTTAGTATTTTGTTTATTCTCTGCTGTTAATATTAGTGTTAAAGCTTCCTGTGAAAAATATTAATAATTTCCCAAAAAGTACCAGTTTGCAGTGGAATGAGATTTCATCTGTGAGAGATCTCTGATGCTTAAGGGGGGGGAATTGTTTGTGCCTGAGGCTAATTTTGTATTGGAGGGGAGGAGAAGAAAAATTAGTACATTTTTTTTAACACATACCTAACCAGAGGCCGGCTACTCCGCACAGGTAACCCCACGGCACAGCAGAGAAGGGGGACCAGTACTCCACTTTCGTAAAATATAGTATGATCGGGGTCACGGAGATGAAAATTAAGTTGAAGAAGCCCAGAGTAGAAACAAAATGAGCCGCTTCCCCGAAGTTTGCACTTCCAAGAAACATTTTGAACAAAACCTGCAAAGGAGAAGCGAGAAGAAGGTTTTAGACTTCATGCCTGTCGTGGGAAGTGAAGTTTCTCCTGTGCCGAGTCCTCTGATCCCTTGGGGATGCCACAAGGAGTGAGTGTAACTAAGAACCCAAAGCCAACACTGTTCATGCAATGGAAGTTACAGGATTTCCAACTCAGACCCTTCCCTGCCCTCTTCATCCCTTGCCTTCGGGAGCAGCCACTACTTTCAAGCAGGAGGGCAAAGCCCTGTGTGTCTCTAATGCGTCCCCTGCACACTGAGGCTCCAAGCCCAGCAAAAGCGCAAAATTTGCAAGAGAGCTGCAGTGCAGCCCAGGGACGAGCCATCCGTCCCCACGCAGGGACAGCGGCACTGCCTGCGTTCAGGCTCTCCTCCCTGCTGCATGCGGCAAGCCCTTTGGAAATTGTGTCGCTAAATTGCAGTGGCAGGAAATGACTAAAACATGATTCTAAACTCCTTGCAGCACAGTAATGGGGATTTCATTAAAAGCTCATAAAGCAAAGTCATTCGGAATATTTGGCAGCTAACAACTAATTACCCTCATAGTCACTTTCCTGACATTGTGATATCTCCTGGTCACAATATGAATGATGCAGGAGGGTGAATAAAATTTATTTTATAGTGATTTGCTTTATACTCGTGCATTTATAACATCTGATGCTAAAGAATCTACCAATACACAGTGATGACCTACCTTATACAATGCGGATGTAGAGGCTGATCCAACAGCATATGCTACCCCGATAATGGAATCGCCCTGGAAACCATCTGCATATGCCATCATTACGATCCCTGTGATTGCCATTATTGCTGCGACTATCTGCACAGAGAAAGCAAAGCGATGTAAAGCTCAGTGTGACTCCATTACACAGAAAGAGATTAGCCCTGCATGGGGTTTTAATGAGCGTCGCTAGCTACTTTCTCTGACTTGAAGCTTTCTTGCTTTCCCTTAACTAGGGAAAATTACATGTGGTTGGGAGAGATGTTAAACATAATGAAAGTGTACGCACCGACAGTGATATGGATCTATAGCACTGCAAATTCTCCTGACACAACATCCGTCATTAAGTGTTTTAGAAGCTAAACATCCACTTTGGAGATACAACTCCAAGATCAAGAAATTTTAAGACACGATGCCCTACTATACAACAAGAGAATTATTTAGCAACGCCACTAATTTGACTTGAAATGCAAACATGTAGACGGCCAGCCTTCCTGGACACCAGTCCGGCAGAATCACCCTGTACTGTGGAACACCAGTGTACCACTGGGAGCTCTCCCAGGCTGCTCTGGCTGTGCACGGTGCTTCCTAACAGCCCTGCCAGCTTTCTCGGACAGACATGCCCAAATTTCTTTACGAAGCCTTCGCCTTTGTGCTTAGGTTTATGGCCTCATTTGAAAATTCCAGACAGAGCTTCTAAGGAGCTTCAAAGAGAAAGAACAGAAATAATTAACTACACTGTATCTGAAATCCTGGGTCTTGACTCCAAGGAAGTGGTAGGGATTCCAACATGTTTTATTTGTTGAAAAACTCCCCCTCTCTACCTAGTTGCCCTCAGCAGGTAAATACAGAGTCTGAATTTCAAAGACAATGAATACATAGCTTCCAAGGACTGCAGAGGAAAAATGTGTTTCCTCAGACCTGTGGAAAATCACAGCCCCATTTCCAAAAGATGGGGTTTTTAATAGAGTTTTTTTTTTTTAAAGTAGCATTACACTAAACATTTTATTGTTGTAAAAAGGCTGTTCATGTACCAGGGCTGTGTGTAGAACAGAAGATGCACCAATGCAGATACCCAAACCTGGCTGTTACAGAACCAGCAGCAACGTTTTAACGTTCAGACTCTGTTTTCTACTCCCAGATATCCACAGAATCACACAACTCCCCAGCGGATAGGCACGGCAGGCTCTCCCCATTCACACAAAGGAAGAAACTAACATGGTTCACCCAGACAGTGCTAAACTCTCCAAAAGCACGGCCACACTGACCGGCTCCCAAACTCCGCTGCTGAGCCAGGCAGGGCTCTTACCTTCTTGCTCCTGCAGCTCTGGTACAACTCCTCAGTCAACATCAATGTGCTTCCTGGAAAACCTCATTAAACTTCATTTATGAAATATTTACTGCCAGACAAACCTAAGCTTCCCATGCTTCACACCACAGACTTCAAAGGCATCTTGATCAAACCATGTGCCCTTTTGCAGAGAAGCTGGACTTTCAACTCTCACACAGTTTTACCACGAGTCCCAGGAAACCCACCGATGCTCATACCAAGCCAACGTGAGCCAGACTAAGGCAATCAGCACGAAAATCCCACAAAATAACTTCAACAGAGCCAGTGAGTAGAGCAAAACCATGCTTCAAGGGACACATGGGACAGGGGCACATGCCTGACTCGGCTAAAGGTGTCCACACTGGGGGACAATGGGGAACCAAGAATCAACTCCCAGGGTGGAGCCAACCTCTGAGAGTACAGGTAAAAATGTGAGTGCTCCCAAATCCCATAGGTATCCAGGCCAACATCTTCACTGGGGAACTCATCTCCTGGGTGCAGCTTTAAGTGCTTCCCTCTCACCGTTAGCCCTATTTTACCAGTAACTGAGGCACACAGGCACCCCCATCGCATCGCAACCAGAGTCACAAACCACAGTGCATGTCTACATCCCACCTTACTGCTATTTCAAACATCCAAGCTCCAAGATGCACTTCAACAAAGCTGCCTGGCTGTCACCAAAACCTGAAGATACCATCAACACCTCCAAATTCTTCACGAAATGGCACTTGAAATCCAGGTCCCCCAACTTAATGACAAAAGGGTTGGGGTCATATACGTACGCACGGTCTCTCAGGTGTAATGCCATGGTTCGGTGAGATTTGGAAGGGCTTTAGCAAGAGGGGACCAGAGAGCTTCCCTCTCCTCCTTCTCAGAATAACACATCCCAGCAGTCAGGCCATCCTAGATGGAGGGCTTTAGTCCCTTCACCCAGAGGAGGGACATGGACCCAAGACTGCCATCTCTGGATTTAGGGCTCTCACCGGCGAGCTGCTGACGAGGACAGGGGAGCACATTGCATTTTCCAGTGCCTAACTGGGAATTTGGCCCTCAGGCTTTAAGAGAGCTGGGGTGCTGGAACATCCCCCTCTGCTGCCCACCCTGCTGAAAAGTCTGGGCACATCTGGCTCAGGACACCCATACCATCACCCAACATGCAGCAATGCTTATTTTATCCTTGAGCTTACATCTATCCACCTGTGAGCAAAACAAAGTTAAATTCTCTTAGGAGAACTGAGTTTCAGCCCCATTCAGTGGGAACGGTCCCTACAGAGCTTCTCCCTCCTACCTCTGGCTCAGTGAGCAGGTCGTTAGTAATATAATTGTGTAGTGCTGCTCTTCTCCTTACAGCTTATCCTAGGATACACATACCTCAAAAGTCCAGCCTTGAAGCAACACAGAATTACATCCAGGACCTCTCAGACACCACCGTGACCCCTCCTATCAGTTCCAGATGTCCCCCTTGCCCTGCTCCGCTGCCTGGCTGGTTTCATCTCAAGGCTGCACGATACATCTTGCCTTGCACATAAATTCAGATGCAGCATTTCAGCTGTCAACTGGAATATTTCAGCTGTAATATTTCAAGCAATGTCTCCCATAAGGCAAAACAGAAAAGCCCAATGTAGTTATCCCCTCCTTCCAAGGGAAACGATGGAGGTTTAACTTGGTGCACTCATCGCTCAGACCCAGCGAGTGAGCCTTTTCCTTGTATTAGTGAAAACGAGTAGATCCGTCATCCCCAATAGGAGACTCTTCCTATTGGGAAAAACATCTTCCCTGTCTGACTACATCAAACTTAGAGAGCCGGTTTCCTAATTTAATCAAATATTTAGAAAGCCAAGCATTTTTCTTCTCCTGAAACAACTGAAATGATGGACACATATGGAGCACCATCTCATGAGACGTTAGATAAATAAGACCTGACACTGGAAAACAGCAAGAACATTATTTAAGTTTCATGTTCAAAGCTGTTCCTGCAAATTTTACACCGCTGCATTAGCGCAGTTGACCTCTGCCTAGCAATTGTCATGTGTTTGCTTTAGAAACCCAAGAGCACATCCTGCAGGCTTCTGTAAGCTGGCAAGCAGCAGCAAGGTCACAGTGAAGTACAGCTGGTTGTTGTAGCTGACAGCTCGTTAAACAAGGCTTTTAATTAACAGACAATGGTAGTAACTTTCTTTTGGAGACTCCTAGGTAAGGAATGAAATTAGCCTGCCTTTTTTTTTTTTTTTTTCTTTCCCTTGGAAGAGAGCAAGGCCACCCAACATTGTACTCAGGCACATTTTTTTTTTCCCTTGTGGGACAGCAGAAAATGAGGTGCTACTCCTGCCGATGGCACAGGGTTGGAACTAGATGATCTTTAAGGCCCCTTCCAACCCAAACCATTTCTGTGATTCTATAGTAAAGAAGTAAAGAAACCCTTCTCTAGGCTAGAATCAACCTTTTCGGGGGGAAAAATGTCCCCAAACCACTACGTACCTACCTAATAAGCATTAATTCAACTTCACGGATGAAACACAACGAAGGGCTCAAACACGCAAACATGGAAGCATGTGGCTAAACTAAGCAACACAAACCAACAGAACTTCTCAAAAATGTGAAGTCTTTGAAAAGTTCCTGCTTGCTCTGAGCCAAAGCTGTCTGGACTTCCAGAAGTGCCAGTGTAACGTGGAGATGTTATTAACTTGTGAGATGTTCAGAAGCATCCAAGCAAAGAAGATTATGGTGCAGGCAGGGATTGTGCTTTGTTTCCTTGGGCAGGGCAGTAGGTACTTCAAGGTACCTAACGTCTACTTTTATAGGTAAATAGCTATATAGTCATTGCTCTGTATGTCCTTCTCATATGAGTATTCTTTCTCCAGCTGGTGTTTTTCTCCCTCAGGTTGGGTACAAGCTCCTTCCCACGCTACAGCATCACCGCTGAGTGCTCCTGGCTCTCACTGCACAACGCTCACTCCAGGTACCTCAAACGCAGCCAGGGCAGCTGGACCTCTTCATGGAGCCCCCGGCAGCACTTCACAGCTAGTCAACACTTCCACGAGCAAGATTATGCCATACCGTAAGGTGGCCATCAAGACAGCTTTGTCTTTAGACAGTACATCTGAAAATCCAGCCTCCCAGCCCAGACAGTGGCGGCTTTCCGGAGCGTGCGGAGCAGCGTGTCGGCAGGCAGCCGGGGGATCGGAGAGCCGGCAGGCAGCTGGAAATCTGCTGAAGAGCCTCTGAGCCTTGACGGCTGCTGGTTCTCAAGCCCAGGGAGATGAAAGCTGTCTCGGCGTCGGCTGCATCCCCACCTACAACATGCTGCAGATGTGCCCGAAGGCTCTGAAGCTCTGACCGAGCTTTGAAAAACTGTCTGTGCTCACGGGTGCTGAGTGCTTTTGCAAAAACACTGGCTCAGAGTGCATGATTAAGCCCTTTTTTCTTTTCATCCCCTTACTGTCCAAATAACCTAATTACATTTGCTCTCTGAGAAGCTGGGGGGTGAAAGCAGGAGAGGCATTCAAAGCACAAAAGGCTGGGTCCACGCTGCTTTGTCGTATTTTAGTTCTCAAACACTCTCCTGGGTGGTTATTAAGGACATTAAGTGTTATTCTGGCAGGAGGGCTGCTGGAAAATGCTGCTAATTACCTTTCCAGCAATGTGCATTCAGAATCTGCCAGTTAACAGCAAAAAACACTTTCTTCTGTGTGCGGGATCCGGTGTTCACTTCTGCCAGGTTTTTCTTGTGCAAACCTCATGGTGTTTACAGCATTAATGCTAATGCATC